AAGAAAATATTCTACCTCTGAGGGTGGCGAACTAGGGGATGAATCCGGGTTCGCACACTTTCCGGTATCCGATTTCAATAAAACTTGGCAAATAGATGTCATTTCACGAACTTTTGAGGTCGGGTTTTTTTTTAATAAAAAAGTCACAATTATTTAATTATCAAATCGTGTTTTCTCAGTTCCACAATTTTGAGTCACAGCAGTATGTGGCTTTATTATACCAAGGGCACGAAATCAAGGGTGCAATTTTAAGTTTCCTAATTCATGAGTTTAAGAAGTAGGGGTAATTCATAAAAATCGTATAATAAGCTGCTACAAACAGTTCCGTTATAGATTCTGGTGAGAAAGAAATTAATATAACCGTAGATGAAGAACCTGTTAGTAAATTAGTACTGACTTGCGTAAGTCATCGACTACGGCGATGGCGGTAAGCGAGCGCGGATCCAGCACGTAGAGGATGTGGTGGTTGTGCGCGACGAGGAAGTGCTCGCGGAACACGTGCAGCGGTCCGAAGTTGTACTCCGGGTCGGCGGCTGGGTGCTTCCGCTGCGACGGGTTCAGCAGCTCCGCCACCGTCAGTGGGTTCGACACCGCCTCCTGACAACCAATGTTGAGTTTTTAAAAACTCACAACACTCGATATTTCAAAATGAATTCATTACTTTGAATACCCACAACATAACCAATTTAGAAAAGCCTTTCGGGTTTCTTCTATTTCTGCGATTCTTACAGTATATTGGAAATGGAAACTATTTATCGGATCTAAATAGCGTATTATTTGTTTTTTTCAAATAAACCAAAGTTTCAGGCCCTTCACCAGGGCCATACCAGGAGTTCCCAAACTCATTTTGTGTACTGCCCACTTTGAGAATAAATTATTTTTTAGCGCCCCCATTTTTTCACCTACATAAAAACCACTATAACTTCAAATTTAATTAATTATTGTGAGCTATATTAGCGGAGATTAAACATTCATTCTAAACGAGACTTTTACTGTAACCCGCAAGAGTTAACTTGAGACCTGAGCTCAGTAGGTAGTACACAACGGCGCTCAGGTCTCAAGTTAACTCTTACGGGCTACACCTGCCAATGAGAATGATTATTGAAACGCAACTTTATAGTATTCAGACAGAGTATCTTTTATTAAAAAAAAAACAAACATAATCGATTCTAATATAAAAACTAATGTGAAGGATGAATCTGATGCTGTTTAATAAGTTTGTTGATATCACGTTCCAATTTACTCAAGAACAGCCGCAAGGCACCACTTTCGGTAACATGCAAACGATTTCTCGTTTTAGTAAGCAGCGTTGTCACAGCACTAAAACCACGTTCACACAAATATGACGATAGGAATGCTATCAAGAATCGTTGAACGATTAACCACAATCCAGGGTACAATTGCGGGATCGGTTTTTGTAGCCAAAATTCTTGGTAGCCATTTTTGAACTTGATGTTTATTGCCTCGTTCGTTGTCAATTCTATAAGTTCTTCTTTCAGCAGAGGTGATATTGCTGTGTTGACATTTGAAAACGGACCTAACACCCAGTCTGGTATTTCCAAGTTCAAAATGTCCTGGTATCGTTCGGTGAAGTCAATGTGGAGGTTTTCCAAATGTTGGCAGTAGGTAAACAAGTCGTCGTTACTGCAGGATACCGATAAATTCGGAAAATTGTGAAACTCACGTTTGCCCATATTATTTTTGTTTAGAAGCAGTTTGGCTGCGAAAGCAGCAACGACATTTTTGCTATAATTAAATTTAGTTCATCGCCTTGCAGTCAGAGATTCATGTCGTTGAACAATTTATACAGGTCTGTCATGTAAGCTATATCATTCTTTGACGTAATGAGCTTGTTGCGCAATTCTGTATCTTTAGTTTCCGAGAACTCTATCACAGAGTCAATCAGGTTGTAAAATCGAATCAGACAATTGCCTCTTGATAGCTAACGAACTTCAGCATGAAACAACAAACGGTTGAAATCTTCGTCGTTAGTAACACAAATTGATGAGATAATCTATTATTCAAAGAGCTGTTACGGATTTTGTTGACTGCTTTGATGACATATTGCAGTGATTGAAATAGTCGTTCACTTAAATTTCTAGCAGCCAAATGTTGTCTATGAATAACGCAGCAGAAGGACATCTGGAATTTTATTTTTTAAGTACGCTATGAAGCCTTTATGGCACCCTGTCATAGCCGGAGCGCCATCCGTAGCAACTGATATAATATTTTTCAAGGGAATCTCTTTCTCATCACAAAACTTTTCCAATGTATTGAATATGGTTTCGCCTTTTGTATCGGTCTCTAAATTTCTAGCAAACAATAGTTCACATATTTTCTCCTCTTTAATAAACTTCACGTAGGACCATCGTAAGACAGTAACAATGCTTCATTAGTTGATAAAGTGGACTCATCGAGCTGAATTGAGAATTGACTAGTCCTCAGATGATTGCACAATGATTCTTCAATGTTTTCAGTTTCAATCAATTCGTCTTTGCACAGAATTATTACTCAAAGGAATTTTTCGGATTTTTTTTTTTTTTTTTTTTTTTTATTGTGACTCGGCAAAATGACTGCACCGCGCCTGATGGAAAGTACGAATACAGTCCAGAGATGAGAGTAACGGATGGAAAACACAAATATCTTCACTCCGTCACTATCATTTTGCCAGTCTGGCCAAATGCTTCTTCACACTACGTTTGAAGGACCCGATGTTATAGAGGGGAGGGAATACATGCGCCGGGAGTTGGTTCCACAATTTGATGGTTCGGCATAAAAACGAATTGCCAAACTTTTTTGTGCGGGACGGTATTGAACTGACCGTCCAACTGTGGCAACGCAGTCCGGCACGGGTGGTCCGCTGATGGAAAGGAGAGGAAGGGACAAGGTTGAATAACTCTTCAGAGCACTCACCGTGGTACAGACGATAGAATACGCTAAGAGACGCTATATCTCTGCGAAGCTGTAACGACTCCGCATGCTCAGTTACATGAGGATCGTTGACAACACGGAAGGCGTAGCGCTGCAGTCCATCTAGGGCATCGAGCAAGTACTTGGCAGAGCCGTCCCAAAGGTGCGAACAGTACTCCATGCTGCTTCGGACCTGAGCTTTATACAACAGGTATCGCAGCTCTGGAGTAAAAAATCGGTGCACCTTGTTCAGGATGCCAAGCTTGCGCGACGCGGTACAGATGACGCTCTCGATGTAATCTTTGTTGCTCATGTCCTTCCGGATGCTCATCCCCAGTAGACTGAGCCTGTCCTGCAGCGTCAGCGTTGTACCCTGAAGATGGGGAAGTGGAAGGAATGGGGATTTTTTGGAGCTGGATAATATCTGCGGCCGGTTTATGAAGCACAGTAGTTATTAATTCCTTTATTGCTGGCAAAATTAACTCTTCTCCGTTGTTGTGTGATTTGCCTTTTTGAGCAATTAACAAAGAGATATCGTACGAAGCTCGAAGTCCGTCGTCATCTTGCTTAGCAGCCGCCGAAAAGAGTTTTGCTACACTTGGCTGAGTATTATGCTTCTTCTCTAGGTTTTGAAAATACGCTACATTCTTGTCTTTCTTATCTGGATGATCTTGCAGTCTTGAAGGCTTCGTTGCTTCATTCGAAAATGTTTTTAGACATAGAAGGCGAAGATGGGTTTGTGGGATTTTCAATGAATCCGAATTTAATATATTCCGCACAGTATTGCCGTCTCTTCTTTTTACTTCCGACATTGTTTTGTTTTGAGAAATACGTAAGTAAGTGTTGAACTTAAGTACTGCTTATCTATTACGCGCGAAACCGCAAACGAAAATAAAATAAATATTACGTTGTTTATATAGGATTGCATAAGCAGCACGCACCGACAGGAATAAGACAAAGATGCATAAACTCGTTTATATTATTCGACACTCAATCGTACTCAACAAGTAAGAACAAGTATTCTATGAACCAGCTGATTGATACAGGAACGCACAAATCGGGTTATTTAACAAAAACTTGTTAAAACATGAATGCCCGCGGTCTATTATCATCGAAAATTACCTCTCTAGGAATATTACTAACTATTAAAATGCGAAAATGTGTCTGTTGCCTTTTTATTTGTTTGTTTGTGTCTACTTTCATTTCGAAACGGAGCGACCGATTGACGTGATTTTTATTTTATTTATTCAATAAAACAGGACAGATATATGAACTACAAACGGAAACGGAGAGAAATATCAAACCGAGTTAGTTTGAGCAATCTCTTAATTAATACTAGTTGATGTTCACAAGTTGTAGTCGAGAGTCGAGAGCTCAGTCGGTGTCTACGAGTCTTCCTAGATGAAATTACAAATCTCCCCCTAAGCCTTTACACAACGCCCCCAATTTTTTGTCTGGGTCTCTTACCCTTGCAGGTTTGCAGCGCCCACAAGGGGACGTAATCCCACTTTGCCAACTTTGGGAAAGGTTGCATTATACTGTCAGCCGTACAGTCAACCGTAACTATGAGACCTGTAAAGGGCCTGAAACGCTGGTTGGTTTGAGAACCAAATATTTATTAATTTATTTAAGGACAGCCAGTGGTCGAATAAATCTTGGAATAAAGAAGTAGAGGTGGGTAAATAACGTCACGATGAAAATATCACAGTGATCAGCCGTCAAACAATATCACCGTGACTTTTTACGAAGGAACGACGTGGGCACGACGTTCCAAAATCACATAGGTTGTTCCTCCGTTCCACTAACTGTCACCGTCACTCACGTCACGACATGCGACGTATTTTATAAACAAAACCATGCCTGATCTCCGTTCTGTAAGAGACTGGCGACTGCGATATTCATTGTAGTTCGCTTTTATTTTTAAATTCTAATTATGAACCAAGAAATAATTAGATCAGTGTAAATACCATGGAAATAATGTAAATAGAAACAAGATAATTGTACAAAATTGATCCAAAATAATAAACACGCCGCATGGTCTTATTAACGAATAATGCGACAAGCCTGTAAATAGGTTATTGCGGATCAATTTTTTAAATTAAATTAAACGTTACATCAAAGTGATTATTAATAACGACTACTAGAAAGTAGCCGCTTGCCAAACCATTTATCGTGACATAAGTGACAGGCGTGACAAAATCACGGTGATTTGTGACTGTGATTTTTTTGCAACTGGAACGATAGTGATCGAAACATAACGCTTTTCCTCATATCTATAAAGAAGACTTAAAATACATTTAATTCTAAATGCACTACCTGTAGGTGTCACGATATGCAAAGAAAACATAACAAGAAAATGTAATCAATAGCAAGGGGTAGACCAATAAAAAAAATATTTCATTTAATATTAAATTAAGAAAAATAAACATTATGAATTACGCCCAAGTGGACTCCTTCGTATTTTATACGCAATTAAGATCCGAAAAAATAGTTTGAATTCCAATTAGAAAAATCTGTTTCTAAATTGGTTTCAGTAGGTATCGAACCTCCTCATCAAAAACCGTCATCCACGATTTACATGAATGTAAAATTATTAAATGAAAGGTACTCAATTTACAGAGCATAATTTTTCGTATAAGACAACTTTTAAAATAACGCTTTAAGTTGTATAATCTCGTACGAATTTACCAGTCTAGTGTGATGTTCCCGCCTGTAGGCACGGAAGTAAATATCACAAGTAATGCCTACCTTAAAGAGCAACGTCTGATGGACATTCCCCTGTTTGTCGGCACGCCAAAGCCTGAGGCCGGGTCTTGCGCAGTATACATTTGGTTCACCGCCCTGCGCGTACGAGTACTGGAAAACGGCGCCCAACGCGCACAGGCTGCGGCGCTCCTTCCGGCCGAGCTGCGACACGGCCCAGCGGCCGCCGGTGCCGCCTTCCCGCGAGCACACGATGCTTCGATACACGCTTGATACGAGCAGTGTATTGGCTTGGTAGCTCATCTGCACTATTTCGTGTTCTTCATTCACAATTTCCATTGATTTGCACAGGTGCTGTGACCGGAAAATATACACATTTTTTTTAAATATAATAATTACACAAGTACGTCGCAATAAACATACGTGTGTAATTGGCTTGGGAACAATGAAGGCGTTAAAAGATATTTGGAAGCGGGGTGCATGAAACTTCATGAAACAAAAGTATGCAAGCACAGTCAAGAGCACGTCAAGCTTGACACTTTGTACTTTGGACCGTTCTTATCGTAAGCGGCATAGAGTTGGATTTAAATCTTAAGTGTCAAGCTTGACGTGCTCTTGACCCTGTACCGTTATATAAAATAATCATGAAGGTAAGTAGGGTCAGTACCCTCACTAAGGTATCCACTATTTATACTAAACGCTATATAGGACAACAATAATAATAATAATAATAATAACGCTCACACTCAACATAGCCCCGCACTAGGGAAACCCTGTGTCGCGGGTGCCATGGACACACACATAGACAACCACAAATTACACCCAAAGTCACGAGAGAAATAAATGTAGGCCATACAAATATTTCTCCCGGCCCGGGAATCGAACCTGGGACCTCTGAGTGGCAGTCCGGCGTGGTAACCTTTCGGCCACTGAGGTAGTTAATAGACAAAACAACAATATAGAAAGTGTTAACACTTTCACGTTATTGGGATTTGACATAAATACGAACATTAATTGGAAAGCTCATATAAAAAAGATAGCGCTGAAATTATCTAGATTTACACACGCACTTCTGGAACTTAAGAAGACCACAAACGAAAAAACGACCATAACAGCATACGCTTACGCATGGCTATACTTCGAAGTAATTTTGTGGAGAAATAGTGTGCAAGTAGGTTCATTATTAATCCTACTGAAAACAATTATAAGAATCATAAAACATTTAAAGAATACCGACAGCTGTAAACCATATTTTAAGAATTTAGAAATATTAACATTACCATCGATATACATTCTGGAAACTGCCAAATTTGATATCCAAATTTTTACACAAAACAGGGGCACCTATCACGACGCTTTCCAACAAGATACCAAAACAAATTAATCATGCCAACATCAAAAAATGGAAATGTATAGATACAGCACCCTAGCTATGTCAATTAAAATTTTCAATTGAATACCTGAAAACATCAAATCAGAACAAAATACGTCATCATTTATAATAATATATAAATATAATAAACTAAAAGACCTGCTAATACAAAAAACTCATTATACAATTGGTGAATAATTGAATGATAAGACAATAACTGCATAAATATGTATTAATAATAATTCTCTATAAACATTATTTCATGACATGACATATATAGGCCTTATGTTTTTATACTTAATTATTGACATTTATTATTATTCAATTGGTTTTGACATACCTTAATTTTTATCACGTTTTTGACATAATTAAATTATCATATTAACATTTGTTAGGACTATTTTTTTTGTATGAATAATTTATTGTCTTCAATCATTATTTTGTCCAATTTCTACCATAAATTAATTAATTGAATGATAAAAAACATATCACTTATTATGCTTCTTAATGTTAATAATTGTAATCTAAACTTCTATATTGGTTTTGATAATTTACATAATAATTGTAATAATTAATGACACAGCTTGTATAAGAGATTAATAATTAGTTAATTATTATCATTGTAGTGCTCTTACAGGGTTCATGTACTGGAATACTATTATGTAACACCTCTGTTAATCCACATGACACACATGATGAATAAATGAATTATACGAATAGTGCATACCTACTTAGAATTAGCATAATTCTTCACAAGTACATTTTTTTTGATAATTTTATATCTATACATCGCACCACACCCCATACAACGGTCGAAAATTATTTACCTACTACTACTACATACAGCAAGGCGCTATCTGCACACGTGTCAATGTGTGCATGAAGTGGCAGGGTTACCTACCCATCACTTGCTCGTACTATTACGTTACGTGGTCAGAGCGGCAACATAGCGAAAACAACGCGAATCTGTTATTTATAATTCTATTATAGAATCCTAATAATAACACATGTTCATTACGTAGTTATATCGATATAATATTATATTTTTTATTAATTCACTAACTAGAATAATATTGAAGATTTATTTAAAAAATATATATAAAAGGACTTAGAATGTTATATTTTGGACAGGTACCTTTAAATAAGGTAAGCAAAGTATTTGAAATTGCGTGTCCAACTTTATCATTACCTAGTTAATAATTAGGTATATTCACAACGTAATATTTATCGGCAATACAAATTGAAAATTCTAGAACCCTTGTCTTGGTCACGAAGTTATGGCGTCTTACTATATTGATATAATAAATCTCTATTATATATTACTTTGCACTAAAGAAAACAATAACTGAGTCTCAGACTTAAGTTTTTTTACTTACTTCGTTTCATCTTTCAAAAAACGGAAGAAACTCCTTTCTTTATCCCGTTTAGATGATTATAAACAGCCGTACACAGCATAATTCACGACCATTATAAATAGTAACATAAAATGATGTTATATATTAACGTACAAATTTCGTAATGAATAAATGAAAACTATATTCAAACATAAAAGCCGTCTTAGAGCGAAATCGGCTCGCCGACAGCCTTGTACTCGTTCAGTTAATGTGACCGTCAATGTGCCCGTCAATGTGCGGGGCGTGGTGCGGTATCTAAAAGCTAGGGAGGGGCGGAGAGTGTCCGTTCTCTTTACTTATTTGTTCTCTGACCGCACTCAAGAAACTGATGTCATTCTTGGGAAACTGACGTAATAGATTTTTTTAAATAATGTACGCAGCAAAACCATACACGCCATTTTGTTGGTGCCGTCTCATTAAGTATAACGAGACGACACGAGCAAAATGGCATATGTAACAAACGTCACAAAGTATCCTAAGATTAAAAAAATATATATTTTGTCACTTACTTAAAAATTTTGGTTTTCGAAATACCTCACTTTGTTATCGAACTACCTTTTTGTAATGTAGCGCTTTTCTTCCTCCTTTGCGTGTAGCAAATGAAAGGAATACACTATCTGTGTGTCTCGAAAACTACAATTTGGGGCCATTTTAAGACTAGTGTGGATAGGCATTTTAGATAGCATTCCGGCCAAGCGTGTCTCTATTTAAAAAAAACAACCGCTCCAAAAATTCATCAGCAGAAGAGCTCCTTGTGAAAGAGTATGTCGTCCAGGGAAGTACTGCCACCTTACCTATTTCTGCCGCCAAGCAGTATCATAAAAAAAACCTTATTTGGCGTTCTTGTAAGTGTGTCCCTATAACGTTTATACAAAAGAAGAAGGAAGATATGACATAAACATATTAAACGGTATGTTATCAACTGTGTCATTAGTAGAAAAATGTTTTACTTATTTACGCACTTGTATCGCGAGACCCCCGACATAGGCATTGATAAGAGGCGCATTGCACCCACGTTACGATAAAAAACAATCTTGCAAAAATACCATTTAGTTTCCTATATCAATATCGACATGAAACATTTTATCAATGACGATTGAGATACAAAAGTGACTCGAAATTTAATAATTTATTTGGTCCATGTCGGACGAACGGACTGCAAGTAGTTGAGGAGTTGGGTAGTTTGCAGACCGTCCTAGTTACAGCATCAGATGAAGGTGAATAATAATAATTATAACATAATTATTTATTCCACTGTCACAAAAGGAAAATTGCATAATTCCAGATTGATTATTATTTAAAATAAGCTACAAGTTAACTACCTTAAGTGAGAGACCGGAGTCCATACTAGGTAACTAGACCCGTGTTACAGATCTCCAGGCCCTACACAATAAAAAAAAAAGGTTTTTTAAATTAAAAGTAAATACGCTATTATAGTAAACAATGTGACGACGAGTCGTGTGCGTGTGCGTGTGCGTGTGTGCGCGTGGATGTGTGTGGTGGGTGTCACATCATTGTAACGTCATCCGATTTTTCCTCCTCGCGTCGTATTCCTTATTAATGAGGATCATGGTTCCCCCAAGAAAACAATTTCTGCATGACGACGCAGCGCCATCTGTGGCGGTCTTTGGCATAGTGGAGCGCTACATGGAGACTCATGCCGAGAGCCTTACAGATTTATAAACAATGGTCGGAATAGGGTGTTCCAAATGAGTAGATAACTGTCTACATATATGTAGACACAAGAAGTGACATAGAGGTTAAAACCTCCAAATGTTAATTAATTACTTTTTCGGATTTCCGGAAGTAGATGTCATACCACACCATGATATTCAAATATTTTATTGTGTACTTACTCCACTAATGTGTTATAATTGTTAATACAACACAAATAATATCGAACACGAAGATAAAACGTTATTAAACATAATTGTTTACATTATGGTCTGCGAAGTGTAACGCAACGCGGGTACCCGGTAACCGGCGTCGGAGACGTGGATACATGACACCCTTCGGCCAAAACGCCTCTGTCTTCAAGGTCGACAGATGTTATGTTGGTACTCTCACCACAAAGGAATTAAAATCCACATTGTGGCGATACCCCAACCGCTCGACCCTCAGGTTAGCTTTGGCTTTTATTCGTATTATATTCCACAATAATCGCAGACTTTGTGGAGTAACAAAGAATTTTATACTTTTGTTTTACGATGTTGTCACGTGAATTAAAAGTTCTGACAGAGATCGGCCATATTTTTACTATGAATATTTTATAATAACTAAGCTCAAGTAATCTCACCATATAGAAGTCAATTTCAGTCATGATAATGACGCCGTTCTTATCACCGGAGAACAGCCGCATCCCATTTTTGGACCACTCGATTGCTGTGATTTTGCTTTTGTGAAGATCTCCTATTGTATACCTAAAACAATCATTAAGTATTATAATAATAATAATAACGCACACATTCAACATACTAGCAACGCACTCGGGAAGCCCTGAGTCGCGGGTGCCATGGACACACACATAGACAACCACAAATTACACCCAAACTCACGAGAGAAATAAACGTAGGAGACATAAATATTTGTCCCTGGCCGGGAATCGTACCTGGGACCTCTGCATGGCAGTCCGGCATGGTAACCGTTCGGCCACGGAGGCAGTTATTAGTAAGTTAAGGTGGAGTAAGAGGAATACAGTTTATTTCGAGCCAAATATTTTGAGCTCTAGAATGATCAGAAGTACACTAAACTTGCTGTTGTTTACCAACTCTACTTGTTTTAACAACCATTACTCTGAATTCTATACTTATGTACTCTTCAAATCAAATCAAATCATTTTATTCGTCATCATGGGTACAATAAAGATGATAACATTTATTTTATGGTCGCCATGACGTACCATCAAGGCATACGAATTATACTATTATTATTAATTATACTTGTCCAATACTTCCAAATAATAATAATAAAATAACACTAATAATTATCATTAAATAGTCATAAACCACTGATTATAGGCTTCCACCTTCACGGGACCAAGTCTTAAAATCTACAACAGTTAGAACATCAAAACAAAAGTAATTTAATTAAGATAATAATCAATGTAAATAAATCAATGTCATACAGTCACGTTCGTCTCAATAATATCTTATTTTTTATAACTGTATAGAAAATAAGAGTTTTTTTATAAATATCAAGTGACGTGACGAACAAGTCGTGCGCTTGATGGTCAGCTACACACCTGTCCATAACAGTTGCAGTGCCATTCAGAGCTTTAAATCGGAAAGATCCGACAGGCACTGCCACTGCGCCCGACACCCTGAGACATAAGTTGACAAGTCCCATGTGCCTGTAATTTCACCAGTACCCTTACCCTTCAAAACAAAATACAGTAATGCAGACATTACTGCTTGGCGGCAGAAATAGGTAAGGTGGCAGTACTTCCCTGGACGAACTCTTTCACAGGGAGTTCTACTGATACTAAATGAATGAACAATGGAGGTGTTCCTGTTTTTGTGTATAAATTTCCTTTTTTTTCTATTTTGTTTTGCAGTTTAGTATTTTATATTGTGCCTACAGTGAAACACAGGTTAGGTGCAATATGTTTTAAATAAACTAATTTTGTTCAATAATGATATATATATAAAGCATAGAAACTTTATAATTCCATTCTTATAAAGTATTGATAGACGTCCCAGTCACAAAGAGGCAATAAATTATCTTCTATGCTATTTACCAGCATTCGAGAGTATGTGGGGCCTACAAACTAGAAAACGAAGTGACACAACCTCAAAGGCATCATTGCTAAGATTTAATTCTCAAATATTGATATACTTATTATTATACTTATAGTATCATAATTTTGAGTATTATTATATCATAGCCTAAAAAATTTATGTTCAAATGGGAAAAGCGATATTCTCCGACAATGGCACAGTCAGCTGGGGTCAGGGTCTCAGGTTCAAGAACCGGCAAACGATACGTGCTGTATCGACAAAGGCTATTTTTGCGAAAAAGCCTTTCTCAGTATAAATCACATGTATGCTTTAATGCATTAATGTTTAGAAAAATACAGTACAAAAATCCTTAATTCATTGGTAGTACTAACCTAACTCAAGGGGCGTTTTTATCAATTTTATTTAAATCACATGCTTGGCGATAGTAATTATTGTCACTTCACAGTCTACATACCTTTCAACTTTCGGTTCAACTTTGGGTTTCAATGAGTCTGGCACATTTTCCGGATGTTCTTTGGGGATTTGGAACACAGTCACCTGACCAGCTTCATTGCCAGCCCCCACCATGTAGTCCACTGTGTTCACTATCTTCACATATGTTATGGGACTTGTTGAAGCCTATGAAAAAATTATTCATATTCAAAAATTGCTGTATATATTTCTCCCCAGTTTGTCGTAACTAAAGTGCTTGCATTGTTTGCAAAGTAAATAAATATTGGTGTAATTATATAGCATAAAAATAATGTAACAACTACATAGATTTGAAAATGAATATGTAATACCTGAATGGTCAATGGAAACGATCATATTATTACAAATCTTGGTGGCCATATTCCCAATTCTTACCCTGACCGATTTTATTAGGGCTTCTGTTACTTTGAAACCGATAGAAAGTGAGAGGGATAACAATAATAAAAATTTTAAAATGTCTGGGAGTTATAGAATCAATGCCATAATCATATTTTTTTGCAATACAGCGTGAAACACTTGAAGTATTTTTACTGGTTATTTTATCAATGTGGAGATAAGGCCAGTGTCCAGATACCACTGTTTACTCACATAGCCTTATCTCTAATTAGCACATCTACTTCCTAGTTGCCTAAACAATTATAACAGATTTGTTTTTATACAATATCAAATACCAAAAGATGTTTGAATATGAATATTTAATGTTTCAAATTGGGTGTTACTTACAAATGCCATTTAAATTCATCACATCTACTGTCGAAAAAATTTAATTACAGTTTTATGTTTCTTCCTATACTCATTACCTTTGACATTTCGATTGAAGGACATGAATCCAAGGTCACAAAATAAATTTTGAAAAATTATTGTGCAATGAGGGAGTTCTTTAACTATACAAAAGAAAAACGTGGACATTCCCTACTACAAATCCTGGGACTTCTTGGAACTGATTATACTTGAATATACGTGTTATTTATTGAAATTTAAGTATAGACCCATTAAAAAATAAAAAATTTAAATTTATACACATTGATGGTGTAATGGGTATGTCCATACTAAGGAAACATTCATATTTTAGGTATTAATTTTCCCTCAATTCCTATCATTGGTTATGAGAGAAAAGTGGATGGAGACAGCATAAATACCATTTAACACAAATACCATATAACCACAATTGAGGGAAAAAAATATTTACGTAGTTTGATGAAGAATTTCACGTTGTAATGTAAATAATCCATTTTCATAAAAATTGCCAGTTACGCCTAGTGTTCGAAGGGATAGTAAACTGTTAATTTATAATCATAATTTGGTGCAACCACAATATATTTCATGATAGCCTTCCCACATTCAAAAACATGTTGGCCCAGAGGTTTTTCAAGTGCTCTGTTAATGTAAAAATAACGCTTTTTAGAGCATTCTGTCAGAATTTTTATACAGGTGCACTGTGGACCAACTTTACGCAGCGGGCTTACAACTCCTTGCGTGTACTGTACAATAACATCTTTAGGGTTCTGTTGAGGCTTCCCCGCTTTTGCAGTGCATCTGGCATGTTTGCGGATGCATGCGTGGATGATTTTTACGCAATCATGCGCAAAAAAAGTGCGTCACAGATGTTGCGACTGTGTGGGAGCACCAATAGTATCCTAAAGATGATAGAAGTAAGAATGGACTCGCCTGTCTTTCGGCGGTTTACCGAGTTACATGTAATATGTAAGTAATAATAATAATAATGTATAATAATAATGTATAATAATAATGTAATTGCACCTATTTTATAATTGTTTTGTCCTCTTTGTCTCTACTAACTTAGCACATAAGATTATTGTTACTAACAAATATGGACTAAGTTGTCTGAAAAATAAATGAATTTGAATTTGAATTTGAAAAAAAGTCCGTTATTTAATATGTTTTTTTTTTGTAACCTGTTCTAAACATTTTTTTTTTAGTTTATTGGTTCACCAACAGTTATTACAATGTAACATGCCATAAATTCAATTTGGTGAAGTTTTTATCTAAATTGCAGAACTACTTATGAGTGAACACAACTTGCAAAAACAATGTAAAATGTAAATTATATAGAATTTAAAAACAGCAACTTAATTTTAAAAAAGAAAAGAAAAAAGTAATACAAACAAAACCAACAAATACAAATGAACAAGGGTCTTGGATAGCATCAAACTTGATGGCGGGAAAAAAAATCAAATTATTTGTTTTTATCATTAACTATTCTTTGTTTTTACGTTATCACTCTACTATTTGTTATTATTATTAATGCAAAGATTGAACATAAACAAAAATTCCTTGGACTCAACTGTAGTCTCGAGTTGGCTAACACTCTGTCAACTGAAAAACATTCTGATATAATGAATAAAAATATGGTCACTCCATTCTAAATTTTTTAATGCTGTGTACAGTTAGCATTAAAATACAAATTTAACAACATTTTACTTTTCATTGTTTATAAATAATGTTGTTATTTTTTTTTCTGTAATCTGTACCATTGAAATAAAAAAAAATTTGTAAATATCATACCCACTTAACACTTAGCTTCCATTTCTTTTTTACACAAACTAGTTTCTCAATGTATAATAATCAGTGCAATTATGAATTTTTAACTTTACAAAAACAATCCTATGCTATAATATCCCACTATACTTTGTTCTGCTATCCACGAACTAAAACATGACTAAGTGACAAATGTTTAAATATCCATTTTAAATAGCAAAATATAGAGCACAAAATTCTGTTTTAAAAATTGTTAACATATTCCACTTATCAGAACTTACCCTAACAATGCATAGCTGAAATATCATAATATATCATATTCTAAAACTGGGTTATGGTTTTTTATGATAATTATCTCAAAAACTTATTTAGTCACTTTGCCGCATTTAAGTCAGACTGGCAACCAGTGTTATCAACATATTTTTGTACCTCCACATTTTCTATTCCAAGCCAGTGGAATTGTAGGCAAAAGTGAGGCAATCTTTGAACAAAAAGTTACCTATACAATTCTATAACTCATTATTCCTAGCCTACCATCCATACATAACTAATTACTTATATACACAAAGTAACAACACGGAAAACAATCAGTTCTATAAATTACCACCCAGCTTTATTGCTTTTAGGCGTAGTTTCGAAAAACTAATAATTGCACTTCAATCTTTGCAATTCAACACCAAGTTCCAAGATATATGTAATCAACATTGACAATATCATGCTTATTACATTATAAACATTTACGATGTTTGAAGTTATGCGAATATCGTTTCTTTCTATATGGAACTTTCTGGGTCTCTGTAGGTAAACTTGTCAGTAAATTAATTATTAAATCGATAATATATCACTTGAGTCATTTGCCTGGATTAACTGACCATCAAAAGGCTTATATTAGTGTTACAAGGTTAGGGAAAGTGTTAGCATATGCTTTACGCGTAGATAACTCACCTCACAACGCAGCCGCTGAATGTTGCCTTTTTTCCGGTCGTACCAGTACACCATGCCCGCGTTAGTGCCTAGTGCGATGTATTCGCTAACGGCGTCCACACAAGTCAGGCACAACTCGTTGGAAAACAAACCATTCTGAACGCGAAGTGGTATCAGATTCAATATGTGCGAGCAAGGCATCCACTCGCGTACAAACGCCTCCTCAGCTCCGCTGGTTACCTCCATTTTTTAAATTTACCGCCTAATTTACTAATTTTAACTTAAACACTATTTCTGTGCATTTAAACATGTTTATTTACGGAAAGTGTTTAAATATATTTTTTTACAAAAAGAGTACTATCCCGTCTGATCCGTTGCTTGCTGCTGGCTGATTTTGACAGTCAATGCTGCCAACAAAGAAAGTTACTGCGATTACTATATTTGATGACTTTGGATTCGAGTATCTCAGTACTATTTTTTTTTTTTTTTTTTTTTATTGCGACTCGACAAAATGACTGCACCGCGCCTGATGGAAAGTGCGAATACAGTCCAGAGATGAGAGTAACGGATTGAAAACACAAATATCTTCACTCCGTCACTATCATTTTGCCGGTCTGGCCAAATGCACTGGATGTACACCAACTGATCCCTGAACGCGATTCGCAAAAGCGTTTCACTGTGGAGGGTTTTCCGCCGTGTGTACTGTGGTCGCTATCCAGTCGGCACAGAGCCTACCACTATAGTATGATTTTCATGGTATTCATTTTATGCTACTTTCATAGCTGGGTTTAGGGTCTTTATATGTGTAGGACTGATTCCTGCTTCAAACTGAAAACTCACATAACACATGAAAAATTCATTTCCAATCGATTTTCGTTTTATATTAATAATTATATAGGTTTGCTTTCCATACAAAGTAGCGGAAATTTAATACTCAATTTAACGCAAATTTCTAAGTTAATCGTTATTTCCTATTAACCAAAAGCCATTGATCCATACAAGTTACCGGTTTCTTTAGAGTAGACGAGCTAGGGGCAAGTCTTTAGAATGAACGTGTACCAACTACACAATACTAACTGTACATTTGTCAATTTCTTGTCAAAGAGTGCCCGTCGTCAAAAGCCATCTCATTTCTTATTTTTGAAGTGAAGTGACGAAAACCTCCGTCGAAATGGCTGAGCCAGTTACAGAAATCCCTATAAACATTCAAGAAAGTGTTATAGAAGCTGTGAAAAATGTCACGGACAAGCCACCGTCAAGTATTGAGGGAATCGCGATTGCATACTTGAGTCTCGTAATTATGGCTACTTTACCCATATTTTTCGGGTCTTTTAGATCAGTCAAGTACCTGAAAGAACAGAAGGTGAGTACATCCTTCACGTTTCCTCATAAAAGTGTGCTACGAGTGCTTATCCTTGTAATTCAGATTCTCCGCGCGTCCAATAGGAACGGTGCACGCCGTATCACCGTGGCATATTTCCTAAGGATTTGCGGAAATAATCGCGTACAATTAAGCCTTAACAATCACCTAAACCGTAAATAATGAATAAAATACATTTTTTATTTGCTTATCACCTAAAAGACATGGGACCTTTTTAAATAAATTATCATGTATATAATGAATAGCAAATTTGCAATTATTTCAATTAAAACTAATTAAGTGACGTTATTACAGGAACTTGGTGAGCAGCATGAGACAATGTCGAATAAGGATGCGCTGATGTTCCCTCTGATTGCTTCAGTTGCACTCTTCTCTCTCTACATCTGCTTCCAGTTCTTCTCCAAGGAGTACATTAACCTGCTTCTCACTGGATACTTCTTCTTCCTCGGAGTACTTGCATTGAGCCATCTGCTTAGGTAGCTACTATAGTTACACTTAAATATTACATTATTGTGTTCAGATGTCAATGAATTCACAAATGAATTTTTAATACAATTGTGTCCTTGAATATGAACATTTGGAAATTTGTAACAGAAGGTCCTAATTTCATTATAAGCTTAATTCAATTAATATCAGCACTGGAAAGGTAAAATGTGTAATGTGCATTTGGAAAATTTAACACGAGTGATTTAAAGTTTTTTTTTTTAAGAAAAAAATCATAATTCTAATTTTGTTTGTTGTATGGAAAATTAGAATGTTTCAGCTTTTCCATAATATAACAAATAGAATTAGATTTATGGTTTATTTTCTACAAAAAATTGCCTTAATGCGCTGTCCTATAATATTTTCTAAATGAGTGTTAGATGTTTTATCATTCCAGTGATAATATGTAAGTTAAATTAAAGTTAGGTCTTGTACTACGTTGTGAAATTTTAGATAAATTATTTTTACTAACATTTGAAGCCTTATATCAAAAGTCGAACATCTGGGTCTAAAGTATTTACATGTTATACATACTGGTTTTAGGGTATAAAAGTAAGTTAACTGGCTGTTACACTTGTTTATTGGCATACAAAGCATTTAAAACTTGTGTTTAAAAGTGTGCCTTGAGCAATCCCACCTTTTTATATTATGAAATTCTGGCCTTTAGTACTTAGGTACATTATGAGAGGAGATCTCAGAATCAATTCATGGCTGAACTACTTCTGGATAACTGAATTTTATTATGCAGTACAGATTGTTCAAATTTAGGTAATTGATATTGTAGTCTAGTACATTTATAATATTTTTGTGCAGCCCGGTTATCTCTCTGGTTGTGCCAGCGTCGATCCCGAACATATCGTACCACATTCACTTCACGCGTGGCGAGCGCGACGCTAGGACCGACATCATCAACTACAAGTTCTCATCCTATGACGTAATATGCCTCCTCATCTCGCTGTGCCTGGGTGCCTGGTATCTTCTCAAAAAGGTTAGTATCTGACTGATTCCAAACATGTTTGACAACGCTGCTCTACAGGATTCTAAAATAGCAATCCAAACAAATATTTACCACCCAAAGGCAGCAAACTTGTCCATCCAATGTAATTGTGTAATTTTTTTCAATTTTGTCTGAATACAGTTGGTAATAAAGTTAACTGTTTTGGTCTTACCCACTTATCTTGAAAAGCAGTATTATAGGCTTATTTCACACTTTACTATTTTACTGAATTCAGGAGAGCTTACTTATTATTTCACTGTCCAAAATCAACATTTCTTACATACAGCCAGTACAAGATCAGTTTACGTATTATGTCGCTTTGTACATTCCTTATCTTTACTACGCGAGTAATGTTGAAACCAATAGGCCTATTTTGCAAAAACTGGAAGTCATGAAGCAAATTGCGTGACTGAAAATGCATATTATCTAGTGAGTAAAGTATAAGTTAGTTATACACGGTCTCCAAAGTCGCTACGAATTGTAATAATACACTCACTTTAAATACCACCGACTTACCTGCAAAAAGGGAACTGTAGTCGGATTTTTAATTAAGATACTAAGCTAATTATAATTATTAATACAAAGATCGAACACTCAGAAAAAACACTCAGAAAAAATTCCTTCGATCCGGTCGGATTCGAACCGACGTGTTCTTGCATACCGTGCCAGACGCTATACCCAATACTCAATACTCAATACTCAATACTTTATTGCTTTTCCATAAAGATAAAAAGGTGTTACAAAATATAAATACAGAACGTTTATGGACCCTGTGGGGCACAGCAATTGAGAGGGAGGCATTCTTTTAAATTACAATTTTTTAAATTATAATATTCAGTAATTACTATTGAGGTACGGTAGTATATTATTTTATATATAATATATTTTATATATAATAACATGCCTTTAAGTATTAATATGTACTAATTAGGTTAATATAATGTTTTTATTTATTTGTATTTGTTTGGGTATCTATTTATGTAGATATAAACAATTTAAATATTATCATTTAGGTATTCCTGTATAGTATAATATTGTTTTGTGACTAATAGGTTTTTTATTTGTTTTATAAAATCTTTTTCTTTGTTTAAATATTTAATGTAGTTCGGTAGTTTGTTATATATTTTGATTGACATGACTAGTGGGCCAGAATGGTATAATTTTAAACGGGAGATAGGTAGTGCTAATTTGTCACGGTGACGTAAATTGTATCCAGGGGCAGTCTCTCCTCGCTTTATGTAGAATTCTGGATATTTCTTCACAAATTTGCATGCTTCCAAAATATAGATAGATGGTAGGGTGAGAATTTTATGTTCAACAAAGTATGATTTACAGCTATCTGTGTTATGTAAATTAAAAATTATACGAATTAATTTCTTTTGTAGGGTAAATAGAGAATGGGCATCCGTACTATTTCCCCACATGATAACGCCATAGCTAAGCCATGCATAAGCGTACGCGTAATAGAGAGTGAGTGATGTGTGTATATCTGTTGTTATTTTGATTTCGCGTAACGCATATGCAAAGCTGGAGAATTTGGATTTAAGTTTCTGGACGTGGGACCTCCAATTTAACCGTGTACCAACTAAGCCACGGACCGAACCAACGGACCTCACGAATTTTTCTATGTGCTTGCGTCGTGTCTTTGTACTTGGT